CACATACAAAGCAGAGAGAGAACAGTAAGTGGATGCAGCTACAAGCCTTCAAAGCATGTCCCCAAAAAATACTTCCCCCCAGGAAGGCTCCACCTCTAAAGGTTCCATAACCTCCTCAAACAGTGCCAGCAACTGTTCAAAATACATGAGTTACTGGCGGACATTTATTTAAATTATTTTAAATCAATACTTTGATAACTAAATGGAATCTATTTCGGTTATCAGAAGCTTCTTTTGGCAGTAAACAAACTCACCTTTTCCACTCCATACTGGGATTTTGTCTAACTTGAGATTTCACAGGTCTGTACATGCTGTCAAAATTGCTATGAGTTTGTACATGCAACTGCTCTGTGGTGTTTAGAAAAGGTTGTTTCCTTGTAGTCACTTACTGCCTCTGGCTTTTACAATCTTTCCACATCCTCTTCCGTGAGAATCGATAGGTCTTGGAGGGAAGAGTATGTTACAGATGTCGCATTTAGAGATGAACACTCTGCAGTCTCTTGTTCTCCTCAACCTGACCAGTTTGTGGATTTATGTATTAACTACTGTCTTCTGTAAGAAGACTATTCTTTGATGGAGGTCATTAGGAGTTGCTTTAATACTATGCCCTTTTAACAAACTAATGGTAGTTGGTTCCTCCTTAGAGCCTATGGCCCATCTCAAAAAAGGTTCTTGATCCTAATAATGGTGCCTAGTATAGGTCCCATCTAATAGCCTGGACCTGAAATCCAATCATAAAATGACTGGATACTCCCATAATATTTGTACCATTATTGCACCAGTAGATAGATCTTACTAGAATAGTCATCATTGTTCATACAGTTTGCAGCTATATAAGACTGATAATTACTTTTCTTCTCCAGTAGCATGCAAAGTACCTTCCAGTACTATAAAAGCCATCTGGTAGAGATGAAGCTTCCAGGGCAGCTTGATTTCTCCATATTTTATCACTCAGGTATAAGCGTTTTGCTTGCATATATGGGCTTGTTGCCCAGGAGGCCAGAAGAGGGTGTTAGATCACCCGGAACTGCAGTTACAAATGATTGTGAGCCACCAAATGATAGGGGAGGTCCTTCTGTGTATATGTTTGTCTTATTGGTTGTTGAATCAAGCACTGTTGGCCAATAGGGAAGCAAGATAGGTGGGACTAGGAGTCAAGGAGAATTCTGGGAAATATAGTAAAAAGAAGTCTTGTGATCCAGGCAGGAAGTGACATGGCAGGCAGACTCAGAATATAAGCAGGTACAATCAGGAAATCGCTCTCTTCCTCTTCCTCCTGCTCTCTGCTCTGGAGCTGCCATGTGATCCTGGCAAGAGAAGACGCCTGCTGCTGGTGTCCAATAAGTTAAGTCTTTATAAATATATAGATTAATTATTATGGTTGATAATTAAGACTGAGCTAGCTGATAAGAAATCCTAGTCATTGGTCAGCATCACTGCACCTAATATAAGTCTCGGTGTGTTATTTTGACCACCCACGTGGTGGCAGAGCTCAGGCAGCTGACATAAAGACTTATTGTTACAACCAAGTTAATACTTGCTGCTGAATCTGGGTCCTCTATAAGAACATCAAGTGACTTTCACCACTGAGCCATCTCTCCAATCCCAACAATAGAGTCTTATGATCAAATTAAGTCCCAACAATTGAGTCTTATGATCAAATTATGGAGTGTTTGCAATAGCCTGTAATGTCTGGAGATCTATGGGACCACATGAACCAACAACTCAAAAAGAAGTAATCCATTCCTAGTACTGGGGGTTGTTATTTGCTAGCATGTGGTGTCTAGCTGTGGTATTATCAAGGACATTTCTTATTCAAATCATCACAGCCTCAAGCCTAAGTGACTAGAACCATGTAGAGCAAACCAGTAAGAAGCACTCTTCTATGGCTTGCTCTACATGACTTTCTTAGCCTACTTTCTTTAGGACCCAGGACCACCAGCCCAGGGATGAACCCATTCACAGTAGACTGGGCCCATCCACATCAATAACTAACTAAGAAAATGCCCTACACCTGGACCTTATGGAGGCATTTTCTCAATTGAAGGCCTTTCAAATGACTCTACTTTGTGTCCAATTGATATAAAACTAGCCAGCACAGAGCTAGAGAGATAATTCAGTGGTTAAGAACACTAGCTGCTCTTCAAGAGGACCTGGGTTCAATTCCCATCACCCACATAGCAGCTCATAACTGTCTGTAATTCCAATTCCAGGATATCTGAAAGCCTCACACCAATGTACATAAAATTAAATGAATTATTTTAAGAAAACTAGCTAGCACACCAAGGAAGACTAAATATGGAATGTTATGGACAGATGAAATACAGAGGCCCAGAGGAGAGGCAGTCCCTCTAGAAACCTTGAGTCTCACACAGTCTGTGGAATAGATGAACATAGGTTTGTTTTAGCCTTACCACTGGTTGGAGAGCCTTTGTCAATCTACCCAAGCTCTTTGTGACCCTCATCTCTTAACAGTAAGAGTGGCAGTCCTTTTTTGTCGTGTTGCAATAAGGATTAAATGAGTTAATATGAATAAAGTACTTAAATAAGACCAGTGAATTCTATATGTACTTTTAAAAAGAAATAAAATCTACAATGAATAAAAATCCATTTAGCAATTATCTGCAATCACACGAAGGAGGGGGGTATGTTTTGTTGCCAAGAACTAGGAAGTGGTTACCATAGATATGCTAGAACCTTGACAAGCCATTGTTAGAAAATTGCCTACCCTTTAAGTGGACAGCTGGGCTGTGTTAATCTATCCAGAAGGCTAAAAAGCTCAATAAATCTTGCTGAAACTCAACACAGCTAACATTTTTCAGCCCAAAACTCAACTTGTTATCAGATAAATAATTAACCACCTCAAGGTAAGCCAAATACATTAGACATCTTCACTTTCTGGGAACTTATAGGCTCAACTTCAGGTGATTTCACTCCAGGCTATCTAGTAGTGGCACTAGGCACAATAGCATCCATCATCATCTCATAGTTTGGGTCTCTCACACACAGCCTGTTAGACTCAATACTCTGAAGCCATGCTGCCTAGGTGTGATTTCTGTTCATACCACCTACCCTTCTTACCTCTGAAAGGAAGAACTTTGTGTGGTGCCAATTTAGACAGAGACTAAGATCGAGCTAAGAAGCTCTGCAAATGATTAAGATATATGAATGGAATCCAGATATTTTTATTACACGAAAGTAGAAGGGATACTAGTAGGAAAGATGAGGGGAAGAGATGAAAGGGTCCTGGTGGCTGAGTATAATTAAAGTACCTTATTTACATATTCTAAAGTATACTGATGAAACTCATTATTTCATACAATTAATATGCACTAACAAAAGTACTAAAAGAGAAACTGACATGGACGTATTACCAATCTTGTCTCAAAGGGAGATAGCCATCATGGAATCAAGACAACTAGGCTCTGTCCTTTCAGGCGCCATGTCTTTTTAGCTTCATGAGCAAGACTAGAGGAAGGTTGCTTTTACTCATAGCCCATATATATGGCTTCTTTTTGTCTGATGCAAGACATTCTCCAGTAGATATTTAGGGAAGCCAATTTCCTAAACAGTGAACTGTACTCTAAGACAAGCTATAAAATGTGAGTCTCTGAAAATAACAATGCTCCAAAACAGGAGATGGATGACTGGATGACTGTGCAGAACAATGCTAACCGTTTCATCCTCTAATAACTGGCATGCAAACTGCTCAGCAAACAGTGAGACATGGCCCATACGACATCTTTCCTTAACCCCATTGGTTCTTCCTGCAATGCTGGCATCAACAAAGTGAACTATTAGAGAAATGTAAGTCAAAATCATAATGAGATCTCATTTCATGCTTACTAGAATAGCCTCAAACAACAAGACAGCAATAAGCTTTGTTGCATGTGTGGAAAAAACAGAACTCTCTAGCATTTCCTGATGTCAGTGTGAAATGTTACAGCCACTTTGCAAAACAATCCAGCAGTTCTTTGAATGCTTCAACATAGATGCAGTATATAACACAGAACTTACTCCTAGGAATATATCCCAGAAAAAAATGAACACATATCCACACATTTACACACACATACATACACACACACATACACACGTTTATAGCAGTGTTATCTCTAAGCCTAAATAGCAACAATCCAAATATCTATCAGTGAATGAGTAAAATGTGATAGATCTACAATTTTTCAATCATAAAGGGGAATGAAGCCAAGAGTAGTGGCACATGCCTTTACTCCAAGCATAGAGAAGGCAGAAGCAGGCTGATCTCTGTGAGTTCAAGGCTATCATGGTCCTTTTAGCAAATACCAGGCCAGCCAGAGCTATGAAGTAAAACCTATCTCAAAAAATTTAAGTATTCCTACAAGCTACAACATTGGAACCTTGAAGCAGCTGCCTAAACTATCTCTGACTTAGGCAATCACTTCCAAACAAGGTTGCACATTAAACTCAATTGAGAAACATATTTAACTCCCTTGTAATCTTTGACCATGGGGCACCTGGATTGCTATTTAATATCTATTAGTCTACACTAGGAACTGAATAAAACTATGAAAAATGGGTCACCAACACCTCTACTTTTGAAGAACCAAACCCAATAGAGAAGTTACTTAAAACATGTCTTCCAATGGTTCTTCAAACTAAGCCGGTTCCTCTCCAATGCATCGTCACACCTTTCCCCAATTCTGAAAGAAGATATTCCTAGTAGGAACAACCTATATAGCTAAAGGGATTGTGTCTCTGTGTTGGGTTGCTTTAGTGACAAGTCACTCTATTTTGGAGGAAGCTACATATTACCACAAAACTGTCATTGGAGCTCAGGATAGCCAGCTTTTCCTCTATAGCATTTACAAGTAAGTGTGGGCTGAATGATGCAATGGAATTCTAACAGTCCCCAACTTTCTGTTTAATAGCATCTGCATAGTGACAAACTGACATCATTTACAACTGATATGATTTGTCATTTATTTTTGTCCCTTAATATTTAAGAATCAAGCTGAATCATGTTCCGACTTTTGACTGCCTGCTGGTCTCGTCAGAAGACCACAGATCCAAAACAAAGGTAACTTTACAGCTACTTTTCTACACCCAATTTGGAATTATTTCCCAAGTATCTGCCTAAAGTTTTACAAGGGAAAAATGACCATGATACATTTGATAAAAAATTAGACAGCAAGTGCAAGATTGGGAACAGAGTTGAGAGAGGATGATCACTCTATAAACAGGTGTCAGGGAGGGAAAGCATTCTTGGAGGATTTGGGAGGGGTTGCCACAACACTCCTGCCACTGTCTTAGGGCTTGTTATGATACATGAGTTGAGACTATTGCAAGCAAAGCTTCAAACACTGAGAAAGAATAGCATTCTTTAGTCTAAACATTAAGAGGTTCATGGCTTTGACTAATTTTCCTTTTCCTCTTCCAGGAATGTGACTATCATTGTGATTGGCTTGGAAAACTCGGGCAAAAGTCATCTTATGGAGGCCTTTCAAAGATGTGAGAACTAAGACCATTAGCTTCTGGTGTGGGTCTGCTGGAAACATTCATTCCACTTTAGCCTTACATCCTGACCCTCAGTTTCTCTCTTGTAAAGATAAATATCTCAGTCTCCTCACTAGGTATTAACAAGCTGTTTATAGACTGTCACCTGCTCCCTTTATAAGATGTCCTCATTGAAAGTCCTCACATGATATCAATACGAATGAGCTTACGCTATGTAAAACATTGTAGTCAATTTTGAAGCATAGTGTGTTTGAAATGCTGTCTAGTTTCAGAGCTCAATTCATGGGTGATTTGGTCTAGAAAAGAGACACGTGGAGAGTAATAAAAAAATGTAGTAACAAAAAACTCTGTGACAGCTGATACTGAAATTTAGAGCTGGAGAAATGGCCCTTCAAGTCTGGTACATCCCCAGTCCCTGGACATTTCCAGCAGCAGTCACATAGCATTGAAGGAAGCTGCTATACTCATTGTGAAGCCCCAACTACCTGTTAATCCAAGGTCTACACTGAGTCTGGCCCATCATCTACGTTTATTGAATCAATATAGGAGTGTAATGACATGGTTGAGTTTTATACAACCTGGCAACCGTCAGCAAAGTATAAGAAAGGGTTACCTTATCCTGACACCTGTGCCCATGGTCTATTTGGAGTTATTTTTTCAGTTTACTTCAACAACAGTGAACTCTGGCTGATCTGGTTATTTCTACTGTTCCTCTAATTATCAAAGAGATGCAAAAATCTAATCATGACACTCCCCTGCTCAGTATTGCTCCATGTCATCTCACTGATTTTGAAGTAAAGCTTACCTGTCTCTAGCAGCACACAAGGTCCTGTTTGTGCCTCTGACCCCTCCAGCTTCATTTCCAAATTCTTCCCACACAGTACTCTGATACGACAAAAGCAAATGCTTTCCATTCCTCTACCACACCACTGTACTCCACAAGCTTTCATTTCCTACATTTTAGCTCCTCTGTCATCTGCTTAACCAAGCCCCTCAATTCATAACCTAGCCACAGGAAAGCTCTCTTTTATTCCCTGCACCACAGTCCTTGCTCACACCCTCTAGCATGCACTTATCCCAAGATCCTTGCACAATTTCAAATCCACCCCAACTCAGGAAGCCCATGAGAAGAAATGGCTCTTTCTCTATCTGAGTCTATGGTGTCAATATCTTCAATTATCACTCCTGGAATGAAAGCTCTCCACCATTCCCCTGAGACTACGTGTTGCCCTTTCAGAACTTCTCCCTCAGCCCCAACAGAACTTCCAAGTGTATTTTAGCCATCACTTCAGCCTCACATACCCTCTTAGATCAGTACACTTGACTCCTTGCATCCCCCACTACTGACAGGCAGAAATGATCAAAAGTAAACAGTGACAGGAAAGTCAAAGAACCAGGCAGGACAAGTCACAAGATTACTGACAAGAATGGGGAGAGTTTACTATAGCTCCAGCTGCCTCAGCCCCATATTCCCATTTGGTCTGGGTGGGGCCTGGGAACCCACAACATGAGAACTCCAGAGGTGTTTCTGATGGCCATCAGCTGTGGGAAGCACTCATCTGCAATTAGCCACAAGCTATTCGTCTGAGACAAGTGGCTGTTTTCCATTCTGACTCCTGGAACACAGTGGATGTAATTTGTTGCTGTATAACTTGCCTTGTGCTCAGTGAATAACTTGGGGCTGGCTCAAAATGGTTTATGGTAGTGACTTCATTCACAGAGACATTCGAATAGGCACTGATGTCACATTCTGAAGAATGTCTCAGGCCACCTCTGTTCATGCAGGTCCACTTAAACTCAATCTAGTAGGTTTCTCTGTACCTAAATTGAATAACTCACATCTCTGATTCCTGTGTTTTCCAAGATGAATGCCACAAACAGCTAATTGTCTAGGAAAGAAATTCAAATCTACAAATAGTAATCTGTATGGACTTTTAAAGACACCAGCTACAAAACAGTTTGGCATGCAAGCCATCATTATTGATGACACCATTCACTACAATTGTTTTGCATGGCACAGTCACATGAGACAAGAAACTCGAGAAGGAACAAAGACAGGTGCCCTAAATAAATACATTGAATCTATGACTCTCAAATCTGACTATACATTCCAAACACCTGTATATTTTTAAAAATTATTTATTTTATATGTATGCGTGTTTTGCCTACATGTATGCATGTGTACCGTGTACATGGCATGCAGTGCCCACAGAGGCCAGAAGAGGGGATTAGATAGTCGGGAACTGAAATTACAGACAGGTTTGAGCTACCATGAGGGTGCAGGAACCCAAGTCCATCTAGAAGAGCAGCAAGTGCTATTAACCTTAAAAACAACATAATGCTTGAGCACCACCCTTATGTGATCCAAATCTCAGAGAATGAAGACTAGCACCACAGGTTTGTGGAAGCCTGGGAAGGTAAAGTTAGAGAACAATGAGGCAGGCTTCTAAGTCACCTAGGAAGCCCAGACAGCTCTTAGCACAGCATCAGGAAGCTCCCATCTTTGAGTTTAGTGAGGGCCGGTGCAGCTCATTCTCATCAGGTGATGCTGAGACACAACCACACCCAAGTTTCATAGCTCTCAGGAGCAATGATTCACAAGCTTTAAAGTGTAGAAGAATCACATCAGGATCATACTACCCATAGTCACTTTGTTACAAATGGTAGGGATGCTTCCATCCCAAGCATAGGGATCCTGAGATGTTGAGTCATTTGGTCCAGGGTAGGGGTTGTAAGTACATCCATGAAACTGTGAAGCACACTACTCCCAAACCATACTTCATGAAACATTCAGCCAGGAATATAGAGATGAATGAATGTTGGAACTTGCCCTCAGGGTATTTATAAAAATTAAGAGAAAGTAGGATAAATGCAAATTTACAAGAACTCCTTCTTGTAGGGTCTAGCAGCAAGTGTCATCAGAAACAGAAATTAGTTTTAAGTAAAAAGAAGAAAACAAAACAGGGGAATTGTTAAGTTCTGACCGGAAAAAAATAATAAGATGTTCTGAGACACATAAAACAATATTTTAAAATTGTCTTTTGGAGTTTTAACCTATTCATCTCTTCTTTTTACTTTGTTTTTTGGAGGCTATAATATAATTATATCATTTCCTCCCTCATTTTCTTCCCTCCAAACCCTTCAATATACCCTTCTTTGCTCTCTTTCAAATTCATGGCCTCTTTTTTCATTAATTGCTATTACACACACACACACACACACACACACACACACACACATTCCTAAATCCACAAGTACAACTTGGTAAGTCTGTATAATTCTACTTGTATGTATATGTTTTCAAGTAGTGTAATTTCCATAGCAAGTATCATATCAAAGCAGTGACTGAAATGTATATGCTTTCTGAAAGCTATAATTAAAAGGCAGAAAACATGAAAATAGAAGAAATGCTATAAAACTACATTGAAGTATAGTTGCCATATTATATACACATACAGATATATGTGTCTATTCAAAAGTGTATATAAACAAATATTTCCAAAAATCTGAAGGAATTAGTAATTTGGCCTAAGGATTTATTTTGGCAACCCTATACAAAATGTTACAGACATATCTACTACCAATAAGAAATTACTGATTCTAGTCTGAGTAATCCTAGTGTCGAGAATGTATGAAGTTATTAACTAATAATGTGAGCAGAAACTTAGACCATAACCATCAGTTCAACAAACTGTGAAGTATATAAAGACTGTTGTTGTAAAATGCATTTCTATTAGGGTTGATTGAGGTATCTAGTTCCATACAGGATATTATGTTCTGGGCAAAGCTTTTACATGGGAAATGTGCCCACATCTGCCATGGTTTCTTGGAAGAGACACACAAGAGACGCTTCATGTCCTCATTATTATTACAATGTCATAATAATAGACATTGTAAGCACTTGCTGAACCCCTACTGTAAGGCAATGGGCAAGCATAAAAATAGGTCAATGACTACTTCAGCAATGTGCTGAAAGGGAACAGTAAGAAGCTGGCACATCAGAGAAGGCTTCCTGAAGAATGTTGTGGTTGAGCCTTGAAGAAATTGCAAATGACAAAGAACTAGGGCTGGAAAGATAGCTCAGAGGTGAAGAGAACTGGCTGTTCTACCAGAGAACCTTGGTTCAATTCCCAGCACCGGCATGGCAGCTCATAACTGTCTGTAACTCCAATACACCCTCATATAGACATACACACAGGCAAAACACCAATGTGTGTGAAATACAAAGAGAAAGAACTAGCATTCATTCATCCAACATTTATTGAGTTCTTGTGTGCCAGCATCTGTGCTCACCTTCATGAATGTAAGGGATAAAAATAAGAGTTCACCTTCCTATTGAAGCTTATAACTCAGTTAAATAAATAATAGAATTTATGACTCTAATATATGTTACAATAATGCTAAACACCAGGTGGAAAGCACTTTATACAGACTAAGGATGGTGTGAGGGAAATTTTTCTAAAATAAACAAGATCTGACTGGATATTTTATAAAAACAGGCATGAGCCAACCACAGAATGGTGAAAAGAATGGCAGTTTGTAAAGACCCAGGAAAAGAGAGACGTGTAGGGTGAGGGGACATGGATAGGAACCAGGTCTACGGTGGCCACCATTCAATTTATTCACGAAAGTCATAAAGCCAGGGAGGGTAGCACAGAAAAAGTGATGATTTAGAAAGATGCATTTTGTCAGGCAGTAGTGGCGCATGCCTTTAATCCCAGCACTCAGGAGGCAGAGGCAGATGGATCTCTGAGGGCGAGGACAGCCTGGTCTACATAGTGAGTCCAGGCTAATCAAGGCAACGACAACAAAAAGAACTAGAAAGGTGCATGATGGATCTGAGGAGGGCAGCAGGCTGCTATAGTAGAATTTCTGAGAGCAGGCTCCACAAGAGGATGAACAATCTTATCTAACTACATTTTGCCACATTGTGGTCGCTTCTCCCCTCCTTCTGTTTGCAGTAATTCCTAGCAAGATACACCACAGCCACATGAAACCAACACAGATTACACTTCTACTAGACGATTATCAAGTGTCTGTCTATGACCTGAATGGAGACCTAAAAGGCCGAGAAAAATGGCCAAACTACTATGCTGAGGCACAGGGGCTTGTTTTTGTCGTGGATTCTAGTGATATGTCACGAATACAGGAAGTGAAGATCATCTTAACGCGCCTGATGTTTGATAAAAGAGTATCCGGGAAGCCCATCTTAATGTAAGCTTCTGCCTTTTCCTCCTATTTCCCTTTACCAATTTGTGCCTTGGGAAAGGTATCAAGATTAATTTCAAGGTGCTCTTTTTGTCACAGGGAGGTATACCCCTTTGGGCTCAATGATGTAGAAAGGCCTAGTTCACTGGTCACTGTTTTCAAGAGCCACTCTCTGCTACACACTGTCATATGGGACATGATACCTAATGAAGAATCCCGAATCTTCATTAACAGAAATACTATCTACTGCTCCCATCCCAACCCTGGCCTCTTCCTAAAGACTTTTCCTAAATTTGCTCTTTTATGGTTTGAGTCTCTGATCTGAAACTTGATTATGGCAGACAGCAAACCCTATTTTGTATGTTGTAAGGTTCCAATGCCTTCCTCCCTCAGCTGTTTGCTCAAGACTTGTGTAACTGGTCCTCATTTCAGGGGGATACTTCCAGGAACCTGTCACACCTCACCCCTACCATCTCCCCCTTCTGCTATTCTCATTCCCCATTAGCAACCCAACTAGAGTATAAAGAGTTCTGGAAATGTAAAACTCCACACCTGTTCATATCCCAAATAGCGATTGTAACTAAAGTTTGAGACGTGATACAGAGGAAGTGGGAAAGGAGTTTAGATTCAAATAATTTTGCACTATTTTTTCCTCTTTTGAAAGTTGGCTAGAAAATTCCTAGCCAATCTCCTTGGCTTTGTATTTAAGCCCAATTCCTGGACATGTGGCAGTTATACTAGAGTTAGCGTTCCCCTACCCACTTTTTGTTTGTTTGCTTGTGTTTTGTTTTCTGTTGGTTTTGGAGATAGAGTCTCACTGTGTAGGCTAGGCTGGCCTAAATTCCCAAGTACTGAGACTAAAGAGGTGGGGGTACAACCATGCTGGGCTTTCCCTTCCCTTTGACTCTACTTTGGTTTCACTCTTCTTGTCTTTTCTGCTCTCTTATATGCCCTGCTCTAGTCTGGCAAACAAACAAGACAAGAAGGATGCCCTCTTGCCTTGTGATATCATTGAATATCTACTTCTGGAAAGGCTAGTGAATGAGACTAAGTCCATGTGCAGAGTGGTAAGTGTCAGCATTTCCTTCTCTTCCTCTAGCCCTGGCTAATATAACCAGGGCCCTGTCTGTCATCAGCCCATATACTGGTTTGGGGGCAAAGTTTCTTTCCCTGACAGGCAACACCTGCCATGATTATTTCTAACTTGACAATGACAACAAATATTTCACTCTGCCTTCAAAGCAGTTCTGTAAGATTTTAAAATCCCCATTTTATAGGTGAGAAAGCTAAATGGCCAGAGGGTCTCAGTGGCTTGTTTGAGGTCATACAATGAAGGCACTATAGCCATTTTATTAAAGGGCCTCAGCTTTTATGCTCTTTATCTACACTCCCAGATGAACGCTGAGAGACTCTTGGGAAGTTGAGAACCTATTCAGGCACAGCATACCTACCTCTGCCATTTAAATGGCAGTGATCAGGCCTTTAGAACCTAAAGGTCCAGGGATCCAGGTTTGAGGCCTTCTTTTCTCTTTTTTTACAGGAACCATGTTCAACCATGAAAAACCTCCCAAAGAGGCATCAACAGCCAATAGTTATAGGGCTACGCTGGCTATTATCTGTTATTGGGGATCAATACGAAGAGCTGTATACTCGACAACAAACATCCGGTATGAGCATCTCAACCTCCAAGAACATCAGAGGCTGTGGAGAAAGATGCTCATCAGACAGGTACTGAGCTGCTTTCATTAGATTTACTGATAATACAAGTGAGTCAATTTTCAACATCACCTGTGAACGCTGAGAGGTACTTAAATTTTGGGCAGCAAGTCCTTCAGAATCTGATGGCCCAAGTTGGGCTATGGCAGTGTCCATCAACATTGCTAGGTACACTACCAGACCTGGAACAGCTTTTAGCAGTCATTTTAGTGGGATGAGTGGCATATAGGTTTAAAAAATAAATGTAAGGCCAACCTATCAGTATCAGGGCTTCTCCAAAATAGGGCTTCTGTTCCCTGAGTTGCCATGTGGAAGACAAGAGGGAACATGTACCCCTTAAGGAGCCTATTGACAATATTCTAAAGATGAATGTTACACAGCTGCTCCAATTCTCAGCCTCTAGTTCTGTGATCTGCCTAATCATAGAATGATAGGAAAGCACAGAAATGTTGAAAAGATAAAATAGGGCATGATCAGGTTGGTTTCAAGGACATAAACCCTAAATGTCCTCTTGCTCTATTGTCACTGTCACTGACCAAAGGCTTATGGACAGGATAGCATAGTGGCTTCATTGAATAATGAAGCTTTAAGGCTAGGACAGCTCAATGGCAGAGCATTAACCTCACTCATGGAAGGCCCTGAATTCAGTCCCCAGTACCAAAACAAGAAGAAAAATCTTGAAGTATGTGTTTCTACTACTGATTTTTTCTTTCAAACTCAGCTTAACTAACAGAGTGGTGATGCTCAAAGACAACAGGCAGCATTTTGAGAAAAGACAACACCTGGAGCACAGACAGCATACTGAACAAAGACACTTTGAGAAAAGGCATCATTTTGAAACAAGACAACATTTAATACAGCGCTCACAGGATACTAGGCCCCTAAAGCCAATCCTACAGGTAAATGGCTTTTGAAACACAATTGCCCATGGTCAATAATTGAACTCTTGAGAACTAATTGGCAATTTCCCTCTTCTTCTTGGCATACAGAAAGATGGTCTTCGAATGAGGCCCAAAAAAAATATGTCAGTAACATTTGCTCTGGATGTAATCATGGAGGAAGGTGAATGTTCTCGGAAGATTGGAGCTCAGAGTATCACGAAGGCTTGCAACACTCAAAATTATGATGTACAGACTCCAGCTCCATCTGTTGATGCCAATCTTTTCAAAGGTAATTGGCTACAGAAGAAAGTTGTACAGGCCTTCCTTTATATTTTCTACGATAGCATTCCTATTTTGAGAATGAAACTCACTTTTCACACTCTGGTCTATTGTTGAGAGAAGTATGGCCAAAGCTTGGAGACCATCTTCTGATAGGCCAGCATAGTACCCCAGCATTACTTTGACACAAGATCTTTGGATGGCTATAGCAATAACTTCAAGGTTATGCTTGCCAATGGTGGAAGGGCAAATTGGCATAACCGTTTATGTAGGATATATTGTCTGGCTCTCTCTTCCTCTCCTTTTCTCAATATATTAAGAACTTTGAAAATGGGGTCAGAGCGCCGGGCGTTGGTGGCGCATGCCTTTAATCCCAGCACTCGGGAGGCAGAGGCAGGCGGATCTCTGTGAGTTCGAGGCCAGCCTGGTCTCCAGAGTGAGTCCCAGGATAGGCTCCAAAGCTACACAGAGATACCCTGTCTCGAAAAAAAAAAAAAACAGAAAGAAAATGGGGCTAGAGAGATGGCCCAGTGGTTAAGATCACTTGTTCCTCTTGCAGAGGAACCAGGTCTGGCTCCTGGCAACCACATGGTGGCTCACAATCACCTGTAACTCCAGTCCCAGGGGATCTCATGCCCTCTTCTTACCTTCACAGACATAAATGTGGTGCACAGATATACATGCAAGCAAAAGACTCATACAATTAAAATAAATCTTTTTTAAAAAGAACTTAAAAGTATGGCAGCCCTTTAAAACTACCAGTCACATTTCTTAGCTGTCTACAAAGATAATTACTGACGTACACAAAAGAATACTAAAAATATTCCAATTATAACATCCAGTACAAGAGCTAAATGCTGGAAACAATGTAAATGCCCAACGACAGGGATGACTAAATAAATTAGGATGCATCCACACTATGGGGACATTAATATTACTAATGATAAGGCACTGGGGAGATGACTCAGTGCTTAATGTGCCTTCCATGCCAGTGTGAAGACCTGAGCTTGAATCCCCTGCACCAATGTAAAAGCTGGGCTTGTTGGTATACACTTGTAACCCTAGCCTGGTGCAGCAGGTAGAGAAAGGAGTGTCCAGAACACACTGGTTACCCAGCCATCAGTGAGATCTAGGTTCAGTGAGAGACTGTGTCTCAAAAAGAAAAAAAAAACATGAAGAGCCAACCCCTGGGCTCCTCATGCTCATGTACACAACACATACATACACATATATTATACACAAAAATTTCAATGCTAATGATGACTTCTATTTACTAGCATGGGAATTCTTCCACCACTTGACATATATTGACTGTCAACTGATAATCATCATGTCACCTCAGACTGAGTTGTTATGCATAACTGAGGAACATGTTCTTGGCCAAAGCCACTTAGGAAAAAATGGGCACAGGTCTTGGGATAAGGGGTGAGGATGACAGCTGAGTAGAAGGGATCTAGTAGAAAATAGAGTATGTCTTTCTAGATGTCAAAAACTACCCCTAAATTTTTTATCCAAAACCAAAACTCCTTTTCATTTCTGTAACTTCAGCTCGTAGGCCAAAAAAGAGAAAAGACACCTGGGACACTGAAGAAATGTTACTGGAAGATCCCTGTGGCAAAGCCTTCCATTCATGCGGTTAGTACTCCTTAAAGAAAGAGTAAAAGAATGTTTGAAGCTAGGATGGAGGGTGGGTGTCCCATAGGGTGCCTTGGAAACTGGCCAGCACCCTCCTACCCCAAATAGTCTGGGAAAGAATAGAAACCTTGTACTTGACTTCATTTGCAAAACTGGCTGTTTTTTTCCCCCTGATTAGACGTAACAGACTACTAAAGAGAAAACGGAGGGCCAGCCAAAGAATCGTTACCTCTACCACCTTTCAGTGAATGGGCAGATCTCCAGAACCAGCAGGAACACTCAGTCATTGAATTTTATTGGATAATGCCTCTCCAGCCCACGTAGAAGTCCACCTATTTTAACATCACATCCTTGAGAACCATTGTTTCTCCACACCAGTGTGGTAGCCAGTAGGAAGTTAGGTGTCGTCCATCTCACCAAAGAAGAGCAGAGACTTCCTACATGTACTATGACGCTTCTGAAAAAGCTTGCAGATAAGATGTTGTCAACAACTGAAATCGAGCCTTAGAAGAACAGGGTTACTTTAGAATCACACATTTCTGTTTAAGGTTCTCAGGTATAAAGGGACTGGCAAAATAAATAAGGATGATGCTCTACTCAATTGTTTTATTTTTTGTCACACATCCCAAAACAGGTCTGTTTTAAACACATACCTACTGTCTGGGAAGCCTCAGTGCTTTGCTAGCCTTTCAGAAACAGCAACTGCTGCCTCTTAACACATGTGTGGATCCCCACTGCAACCACAGTGTGGTGTGCTTGGGATGGTAGTGGTCCCTTACTACTACTGTTATCGCCTTCATCATGGGACCCATTTATTGGGTGCTTTCTGTATACCCAGCAAAGTGCTAAGTCCTTCCAATCTATTGTCATATTTGCAACCTTCCTGGGCAGGTATTATACCTGACATCATTTCCCAAATAAGGATAGTGTAAAAAGCAGATCAAGGAATGGAATCTAATACAGCCTAGCTAAAGCTAACTTAGGCAAAAAGAGCCATACATGCCTTTCTCCAACTGCCTCTAGAAAGAAAGCTATAGCCAGGAAATAATGCTGCAGTGTAGCCATGCCTATGTGAGGAGAATTCCATTAAAAGCCATAAATAAGGGCTCCAACAGTGCTAGCAGGAATAGTTGATTGAGCGCTTCCACTTTGTCAGATGCTGGGCTAACTGCTTTACATATATAAAATGCCTTTCATCTTTACCTCACAGAGACAGAAACTGATGTTCAGAGAGGTTAGCTAATTTGTCCTGGGCACCCACTAGGAGATAGCAGAGCCAGTTTTGGTTTTTTGGTTTGCTTGTTTGTTTTGTTGTTTGTTTGTTTGTTTTTCAACACAGGGTTTCTCCATGTAGCCCTGGCCATCCTGGAACACACTCAGTAGACCAGGCTGGTCTTGAACTCAGAGATCCACCTGCCCCTGCCTCCCAAGTGCTGGAATTAAAGGTGTGCACCACCACCGTCTGGTTATCAGAACCAGTTTTTCAGTTCGAGTCCAAGTCCACAGGTGCTATAAAGACGACTCATCGGATAAGGGTACTTGATGAGCAAGCATGGGGACCTAAGTTTGGTTCCCAGCACCGGTGTAAAAAATCAGATCATGAACATGCATGCAGCTATAATCCCCAAACTTTAAGGGGCAGACAGGAGAACCACTGAGACTTGCCACCATGCACAGCCAATAAAACCAAGTTTTTAAAAAAGAATTGATCGTCCACACACATTTTTCTTCATGGCATGTGTCTATTACACAGGAATATTTTCTTGGCCAACAGAAAAAGGTATAGTAAGTAGGCCTATGAATATGAGCAAGGAAGAGAATTAAGGTTAAAGACCTTCTAACAAAGCTGAATTTCAACTGGGGCTGTAGTAGGTAGAGTGCTGGCCCTGGACATTGAACCCTGGGTTCTATTTCCAGTGCCATACAAATGGGACATGGTAGTGTATGCCTGTAATGCCAGAATTCAGGAGGTAGAGGCAGGTGGATCCACCACAGAGCAAGTCCAAGGTTGTCCTCGGATACAAGAGGCCTTTTCCAAAAACAGAAAAAATCCTTCATTACAGTACACTGTCACACTTCTCTTTGTGCAATGGATATGTTTCTCTCTGAGACAATTTTTTTTTCTAAATAGAAGCTAAAGCTGGGTGGGCTTTTTACATTTATTTGTGTACATATGCGTGTGTGTACACTGGTCTTGAACTCATGACCTTCTTTCATACTGGGGTTTTGGGTTCATACCATTTCATGCAGATTTTGTTCAGCAAGTTTTTAATAGAGTTTTTATTTATTTATTTATTTATTTATTTATTTATTTATTTATTTGGGGTTTTCAAGACAGGGTTTCTCGGTGTAGCTTTGGAGCCTATCCTGGCACTTGCTCTGGAGACCAGGCTGGCCTCGAACTCACAGAGATCCGCCTGCCTCTGCCTCCTGAGTGCTGGGATTAAAGGAGTATGCCACCAACGCCCGGCTATTTATTTATTTATTTATTTATTTATTTATTACTTGTTTATTTTTACATTTTGATTAATGAGGGAACATTGGTACCAATGCAGGTGGAAGCCATAGGACAACTTGCAGAAGTTAGTTCCCTCCTTAAACTATGTGGGTTCTAGAGGTTAAATTCAAGTTGTCAAGTTTAGCAGAAAACATCGTTACCTGCTGAGCCATCTCCCTATGAAGGGCTCTAGCAGGCTCCAACACTGGCAAATGTGGCTGAAAGCACTTACCCTTCCCTCCTCCTTGCTAAGCCATAGATAAAATTCCTTGAGCTGCCCACCAAAGTCTATTTCTTTATTTTACCACTTCCTCCTCCTGAGGCTGACTACCAAGGTTCAGCTATCAAAGGAATGAAGTCCAGACCAAGGGTCAGCTATCAAAGGACTGAAGACCAGCAAATCAAAAGCCCCTTTTTGGCTAATCTAATTAACATACCCAATTAAAACAAACCAACTCACCCTAAGGGGAGCTTCCTTTTTCCCTTTCTAAAGTTTTTGTTTTGTTTTTCGAGACAGGGTTTCTCTGTGTAGCTTTGGAGCCTATCCTGGCACTCAGTCTGGAGACCAGGCTAGCCTCGAACTCACAGAGATCCGCTTGCCTCTGCCTCCCGAGTGCTGGGATTAAAGGCCTGCACCACCAACACCTTTAATCCCCTTTTTCCCTTTCTAAACTGTCATTTGCTTGTGGGACATGTCTCTCTATCCAGTGGCAGTCCATTGTCCCTCCAGGGCAAATATCCCTCTGCCACCTCTCTTGTTCCTTTACCCTTCTCCCTTGTCCTGTCTCCTGTCTTTGTCTCTTATTCCTGCCCTCTGTGGCAAATAAATCTCCTTTCTGCTGAGAACTTGGTCTTGGGGTGTCCTTGCTGATTCTGGTCCTTCTAAAAACAATCTATCAGTCACAAAAGTTTTAAAGAGTAGCAATGTGTTGTGTATGTATGTATGTATGTATGTATGTATGTATGTATGTATGTTTGCATGTATTGAAGTGGAACTTAATTTTGTTTCTACAGACTTTTTTTTTAAAGATTTTAGTTTTATTTATACAACATTCTGCTTCCATGTCTATCTGCACACCAGAAGAGGGCATCAGATCTCATAACGGATGGTTGTGAGCCGCCTTGTGGGTGCTGGGAATTGAACTCAGGACCTCTGGAAGAGCAGTCAGTGCTCTTAACCTCTGAGCCATCTCTCCAGCCCTCTACAGACTTTTAGGACATCTCTCAAACCCCCATCAAGCTAGATGACTTGGTAACTTCCAGTGAAGCCAGAAATAAACTGCCCCCCAGAGAAATAACAATAACCCTTCTCCTGAGCTAGTTTGAAGCCACTAATCCATATAAAATGTTTAGCTAGTGCCCAGCCAGCACATCTTAAGTAGCTCATTAAACACTGGCTAATACTAGTTAGTGGACAGTTTGGCTAGATCATTAGCTTACACTTTTAAGAATTAAAGGCTTTGCTTTAAAATGTGTCTCTTTTCTGACAGCGAATGACCTAAAGGCAGGTATCTTAGATCTAAAGGATGAAGAGCTGGCTTAAAGAAGCCATGGTAGTTACCATCACTACCTCCCCACATTCTCTTCTTTGAGAATCTTTCTCCACCAAAGAAGTTAGCAGTGAGGCAGTCCGAGGACAAAGCAAAGGATACTTTTTTGAATCAAGAGTGCAAAATTTATTCAAGGCAAATGGTTGCCTTGGAGTTCCTCTCTATTTATCAACATCTTGGCCTTCCTCCAGGACTTTTAGAACCTAGATTCCGATGTGTTTGCTACTTTTCCCGTGGCTGTGACAAAATACCCCCAAAAAGCAACTTCACAGTTTGAGGGGAAATAAAGTCCATTATGAAGGGAGAGAGAAGCACAGTATCTCCAGTGGCTCCAGCTGTGGCAGCTGGTGACTCTGCATCCAGAGTCAGGAAGCAGAAAGAAGTAAAGGCTGGTGCTCAGCTCACTTTCCCAGCCCTTCCCCAGGACCACTGCACTCCACTGTGGTGTTGCTGCACACATTCGGGGTGTCTTCCTTCTGTGAAAACATCCTCACAGACGTATCCAGAGGTGTTTCCATGGAGATTCTAAATCTGTCAAGTTGACAATGATGATTAACTGTCACATCCTGACAGCATACTTTAAGCACATACATAGCCTTGGCCCACAATTCAAACTCCACATGGCTCGGGTATTAGTTCTTTCGAGTCAGATCTTAGCTTTGGGACTGTAGAATTTACTGTGGAGGGGTAGGGACATTCCTTTGCTCTAAATGGCTTTCAATTCCTGTACTCTAGTTCCCACGAATTATGCATGTGTTCCTCGATCCCCAGCACCACTCAAAACTGGGAATGATAGTGTCTGCTTATCTAGCACTCCAGACATAAGGACAGGAGGATCAAAAGTTCAAGGTAATTCATGGCTGCAGAGCAAGTTTGATACCAGTCCTTGTCTGAAAAAAAATAAAAAGAACAAGGAAAGAGCAGTGATAATTTAGGGTAAAGTAACAAATCACTTCTCAAGGCAGTTGCTGCTGGAATGACATGATAATGAGATGTACCAAATATCACTTTCTCTCGGGAAAATCCTGCATACCAACTATTGTTCTTGTCCAGAAGATGGCAGTGGCCACAGCTAGGTTAGTAGTCAAACCCAGGTTCGGTA